TTTTATCGTTTAAAAGAAACTTGAGTCTGGATTCTGGATCCTCCTGCTTATTCTGTGTCTTAGCTTCAGTGATTGTAAATAATATTTTAAATAGGTGCAGTACGTATTTGCTGGTTACTCCATTACTTGTAAGGGACCCAAATAAAGGTTTATTGTCAGTTAATAGGTATATTTTTAAGAATAAAAGTGAGATTTAGTTTTGTTTAAAAGGCTTAGCCAACATTGTAGCTAACAAGAGAAATGGTAATAGTTTGTGTGTTGGTGTGTTGTTTATTTGCCTTTTTTTTGGTTCTCAAAGGAAATCTGAAATAGAGTACTATGCTATGTTGGCCAAAACTGGTGTCCACCACTACAGTGGCAATAATATTGAACTGGGCACAGCATGTGGAAAATACTACAGAGTATGCACACTGGCAATCATTGATCCAGGTATGTGTTTTAAGTCTTAAAATGAAAGGGGGTTTTGTTATTCTTGGTTTTGAGATAGGGTTTTGCTGTGCAGTTGAGGTGTAAGTGAAAAGTATTTTTTTACTTTGGAATTACAAATTTTGTTTGAAATAACCTAAGGAATAATGATTTAGAAACTTGGTAAAAGGTTAAACCTTAAGGGGGAATTAATGAGGTGAAATAGAAGAACATAATCCTTACTTGCTGTCTGAAAAAAAGATAGATGAGATTGAGGGGGAAAGGGTATTACAAATAATTTTGTGTTTTGAACTTCCAGATTTTTACTTAACTGCGAATATTCTCGCTGTTCTGATTGTGTCATAATCAGGGCAGGCTAAACATTCGCTATAGCAAGACCATGCATGTGTCCCCAGACCTAGATCTTTCTCTAGGTCTGGTTTTATAAATGCTGGTGATAAATAAGATCCAAATAATTACAACTAATACTCAGATTTGTCTAAAGAATGTGTAACCTAAGTTTGGAAATTGTGCAAATTACACTTAGCATTAAGTGAATTGTAAATATTTTATTTTCTAGGTGATTCTGATATCATTAGAAGCATGCCAGAACAGACTGGTGAAAAATAAACCAAGCAGAATTTTTCATGAATAAAACCTGCCATAGCTTGTTTTTGGTGTTTTGTTGTGTTGTGTTTTTGAGGCAGGGTCCTCACTGTAGTGCAGACTGGCCCTGAACTTGTGTAGCTCAGGCTGGCCTCCAATTCATGGTGGTCCTCCTGCCTTAAATCTTCAAGTACAGGGATTACAGGCATATGCCTTTGTGCTCAACCAGAGCTTGTTTAAAAAATTACCCATTTCAGTTATTTTTCTGTTTCCTGACATTCTTGTGAAAGTAGGATCAGAGAAGATATAGTATGGTGGCAACTTGCCAATGAAGAGGTACACATTCCACTTTCCATTTGCCCATTTTGCTAAAGGAAAGCACTGAGCATCTCTTAACCTGAAATTTCGGGGTTGCAAATGTTTTGGATTTTGCAGTATTTGCATATACATGAAGTTTTTTGGTGATTGGATCTAAATCATAAACAGTTTTTTGTGTGTGTGTG